TTAAATCTCGACTATTCATCATCCTGCACGAGATTTCGTGTTATATCTAACGCGAACGATACGCAAATCTCCCTCGCTAATAGAAAACATTGTTGAATCGCATACCGTGACCGTCTCGATTGTTTTTAATTAAACTGTAGTTTAAATTGCATTTCATGGAATCATTTTATTTTTTTATCTATGCATTTATTTATTCTTTTTCTTTTTTTTTAGCGTAAAATATAAATATATTTCGCTTTTTTTTGCGTGATTCTTTTCGCAGAGAAACAGATATTACCGTAAATGTCAATTTCTGAATTCATTTTTTTCATTCATTCACGAGAAAAAGACTACTAGAAAACTAAATAATTAATATTTTTACTAAAAATTTGCAAAGCAAGATAAGAAAAATAGCGACTCAAAATCGAGCGATAATAGAGATTTTAAGGCTATTACATCTATTGTATTTGCAGACGTCAGAAATTGATGTCATAGTCACTTAACTCAATTCTCCATACATTTGATTGTGATTAGTCACAACATTTCTTGCGGTTTAAGATTTAAAGCTCAAGTTTTAAATCTTAAAATGTCATGTAGACGCCGCTTCGAGTAGATTTGAAACTTGATTTCTTTGTGTAAATTATAATAATATTCTATGTTAAAATCCATTATTGCTCGATTTTTTTTCGCAATATCCTTCTTATTTTATTAAAAAAACTATTTAATAAAATTTGCAACGAGAAAAATAGATTTAGGAATACAGACACAAATTAACATCAGCTTCAGCATTAATGCAGGAATCTCGATGAAGGTTCGAAAGAGAAATTTACAACCACCAAGAGAGTTTGTCAGATGAAAATGACCCAACTTTCGAGACGTTAAAGAAGGTGCTGTAAAGAGGGATTTGAATCGATAGAATGTGCAAGAAGTTTCGACGTTGAAAGACGAAATACAGGGAGGCACATGATGAACAATGCACTTCTACCGCGTTTGCTATATACACGAGAGTGATACACACTGACGACGCAGTCAGATAATTTTCACGTACACATTGTCCACGATTCCGAGTGGCGTATGCGTGACTAGACACGTGTGGCATACGAGTGAATGTCGGTGTGTTGAAAAGCACACCCGATATGTTCGTTGTGCTCAAACGTCAAATTAAAACAACGTCATGAACGATGCTGCGCGACAAAACGTTGACGCGAGAGATCGTTAATACTGCAAGTTCGGAGTTGCTAATTAACGAACTTGCAGCATTATTACATTCTTTCGTCGCAAATCGAACATTTCTTCGAATATCAATTGAAAAAAAATGTATATAGGTTTTTAGTTTTAGACTAAAATTTAGTCAAGTGAAAAAGTGACGAGCATTGTAATCACCATTCCTAGCATGATACAAAAAAATTTATTATACATTATTTGATGTTACCTACATACACGTGTGCATAACTTGCGTGTGATATCACGATCCTTGGACAAGAAGCGTTGATAATGAACACAATTAGATGTTTTATCAAATTTGATTGGAAGCACTGTTGCATATTAAAGTCCTTATACACTGATTTAATCTAAGTATAAAAGTGAAATGCAAATATTTTGAATTATAAAATACATATTTTGCTTAACAATACAGCATTTGCAGCAATATCACTGCAAAATCTCTGCAATATTGCTGCAATATGCAATGTTGTTACAATGTTGCAACAGTGTTGCCGCAATTTTTGTGCAACTTTTATGTGCTGGAGCAATAAAATGTATTCATGAGGATTTCATAATTTAACTCGTTTCTATATTAAATACACATCTTTACCTCATTTATGCACGACTTAAATATGTGCACCGGTGTGCACTGAGTGCGTCCAATGAAATTCGCTATTACGGTAAAAAACATTTTATATTTATGTTGAAAATGGTCCCTCAAGTCCTTGTTAATTTTGTATTGAATTTTTTAACATATTTTGTTAGTTTAATGTGATTATGTTATTTAAATAATTTGTAAATTGAGGGATATCCAATATTTGTTAATGTCAAAATAATAAATTTTATGATTAAATGAACAAATAATACAAAATAATATATTTTAAAATATAAATTCTAAAATAAATGAATAAAATATGTGTTAAATTAATATATCATAAACATTAATTTTACTAAAAAAATATGCTTCCATGGTTTGTTTGTCAAACTGGCAGTATTATCTTGTTTGTGTTTATCTTTTTAAATGATGTTTGTGTTACCTTTTAACATATTTATCGTGTATTAAATTAATACATAAATTTAAGTGGATCGCTTAAGATATGTGAAATATATTATTTGATACAAATTTTTGAACAATGTAGTCCCGAAACATAATAAATCTAATAAGTCTTAAGCCGTAAGAAATCTCAATTATGGTCGAGTATTCTCCTCACATTCTACTGATTGTCCAATATCTTACGGCTTAAAGCTTACTACATCTGTTGTGCTTCAAGATTTACCCAGTTCACTCGTTAAACGAAGATATAATGTTTTGACTGAAAAGATCATTTGATGAAGAATAACGGGCGTGATTTTCTAACTAAAGCATACAATTGACATTTATTTCGTGGTACATAATCTTCACTATACACAGCAACCATTCTACGATGAATGCCAAACATGGTATTTTCAGCGATTAGAAAACATATCATCGCTCGTCATTCTTCATCGTACGAATTTTCCAGATAAAACGCCATTTCTCCGCTTAATGAATGAATTGGACGTAAAATACAGCATTCGTTATCAACGTCTCACTGTTCAAAGACACGTGACGTCATACGCAAGTCATGCATACGTGATATCACGTAGTCAACATCAAATATGCATAACAGACTTTTGGATATCATGCCAGAGGAAGTTTCTACAACGCTTGTCACTTTTTCATTCGAAAAACCAAATTAATAAATAGAAATAAATACAAATTTTGAACTCTATCTCTTTCTTTTATATTGTAATTCATGTGTGTCAAAATACTCGCTCATGCTTTATAAACTTTTTTAAATAATTTTATTCTTTTTTTCTATATTTTTAACACTTAGTTGGAAACATTTACAGAATCTGGAATCGTATGTTTCTGAGGCCTAAGGATTTGGAAAACGTGAGGGTAAGTAGCTAATAAACTTTAATGTCCAACGACTTAATGTCTCCCCAGATAGATTTATATCTACTTTTACAATAGATTAACTTTAATCTCGGTTTAATTTACTTTTTATCTTTTCCAATTCTAAGAATTAGAAAAAGTTGCAAAGTAAATCAAACTGAGATTAAAGTTAACCTATATTGACACAAATAGATATTAATTCCTCAATTAAAAAAACCAAGATATAAATCAGAAATTTATGCAGCCTCTAAATTAAAGAGTTTTTCGTTTTTTACTGCTTTTGTTCTATATTATTATTACTAATTTAAATCGAAGTTAAAAAAGTTTGATCAACGTTATGACATACATAAATATATGAAATTTTTAATACAAAGATCGATTTCTTATAAAGGCTTCTAAAATTTCTTTTATAGTATATCGTTATCTTAAAGATATCAATATCAAATAAATGAATAAAAATAGATAAACTTATAATATTTTATATCAATAACACATATTCATCGTAAGATAAGATTAATCGATTCCATTATCAATTTGTATTTATTTTAAGAAATGATATGATCTCTAGTATAATAAATACTAGCGAATTTACAACTTTTAGATCAAATAAATTATCGTTTCGCGTAGTTTTTTTTGTTACTGAACATGAATTCGATTTCAAATTCGATAATGAAATAGTTAAATCAAAGAAACTAAAAACTATGATTTTGAAAGTTTTCATGAGGATTTTCATTTTGAGAGTTAACATCTGCAGTTAGCATTTGTAAATTTTTTATCTGAATTTTATCAATGCCATGAAAGTACTTTTAAAATACATTTTTTTTTCATTTCAGAATGAATTTTTTGTTTTCAGAATAAATGAATTTTTGTTTTTGAGATGAAAATAATTCTTTTCCGATTCAATACATGAAAAAGCATTATATTCCATCTTAATACTTCATATAGAAAGTAAATGTTTTTGTACTTACATAATAATACTGTATTTATACAATAGATAATCAAAAAGTAATTGACTGAAGCTACTGGAACTGACAAAAAAATAACATGGTTATTTTCAAATTGTATTTATATCTCAAAAATGAAAAATCATATAATAAATTTTAAACCAGCAAATCAAATATTTTATATATTACAAATACTATTAAATTATAATAAATAAAATTATAATTGATTAAATCGAATTCTTATTAATAAATTATTAGAATACGTGTAAAATTAGATATAATTATTTTTCCTATTTCCTGAACTTCAGAAATGTGTGCTAACAAAAAGAACTTTTATAAAAACTGGAATATAAACGGAATATCAGCTATCGGAAATCATTTCAATTTTTGTAAAATAATGAAAAGTATGACTCGTATATACGTTTGATTATTTGCTATATTAAAAAATTTCATCAGATCATATCAACGAACAGTATTAATATTGCAATAGTCTGTTTAACATTTCAATAGCTCATTCTTTTTATGGCAAAGTACAAACTATAAATATTTTTATATAACTAATATTTTAATAATTAATAATTCGTAGTGTTCGTTAAAATTTGATATAATTTATAGATTGAAAAAAAGATTGGCTGAATATGACACAGCATTTTTAATTGATTGCAGCAGCCAATTTTTGATTGCATTAGCTTATCAAAAATCCTATACTGACATTACGGATAGGCTAACGTAACCAAAAATTGGCTGCTGCAGCCAATTAAAAATGCTATGTCATATTTTACCATTTAATTGCTGTATCAATTTTTTCTTTCAATACATTAACTTTGTTTCTACGATGTAATAGATATATTATAATTATATCTACGTATCAAAACTTGAAATCTTAAATTTCCTTTTTTGCTTCTACATTACAATATTACATATACAATAAAACATTGTTTTTATGAGCACACAGGATGCCACAAGGAAGCATTCAATGGCAGGGGACGCAGAGAAGAGCCTGCGGGCCTGGGGCTAATTGGAACGTGCAGGTACCTATATTTTCATCGCTTATAAAAATTCAAAGTATTGATTACAGTGATTATACATATATCTATAACACAAAGCTTTTTTTCTTTATCAATCTTGTTAGTGTAATTATTAGGGAGTAGATTGATCGAAAAGAATATCAATCTTAGGAAGAAAAAAAGAGAGAAATTCCAATAAAATGTGCATATGTAGAGAGCATGTACCTAGATACAACATATCCATACTTTAATCATTTCTAGCACGTTTACAAATTTCGCCTGCAGAAATTACTTCCGACGCAGAATCCGCCTTAGTGGAAGTATACGCAGATTACATGCGAAAGCAAACTACAATTATTGTAGTAAACTATACAATTATTGTATTATTGCTGGTGAAACAGATTACTATAATATCGCTCTCTGCTAATGATATTTGCACACAATTCTGTAAATATACCTACATAGAAACTATATTCTCAATGATACACACTTGTAGAAATAATTTTTTTTCTAATTTATAACAAAATTAATTATCTTAGCACTATAACAAAATTAATTATCTTAGCACTATATGCTACTACTATGCAATAATTTAGATAAATATATAAGAATACGTCGCTCGTGGTTACCAGCACCGAAAAACGTTACTATGCCATTACACCGTAATATACATCGTAAATCGTACTAATCGATATTTAATGGCGCCATGAAAACGCTGGACATATGAACGTTTACCACTGAGTAAACAACTGGACTATATTGTCCAGATTTATTAACTGTTAACGACGGCAATTAAATCGAACAGGTGGTGAGAGGCAAGGTGACAACGCGGTGCTTGTGGCACGCCTGCAAAGCTCTTGGAATTGGGCTACTGCTAATGCTTTTAGGAGCTTGCATGGCGACTATAGGTGAGTAGAACTATATAAATTAAACATTAGTCTAAGTCGAATGCTATTCATTTTGGCCTCTGACAATAAGTCACTAACTGTTTAGAGAGATTTGCAAAGAGCACTTTGGAAAGGTCAATCCTCCCCCGCCTTACAGATCAATTCTTTGTAGTTCATAATTATTTATGTGTAATTTTTACATGTGGAAAAAACATGTTGTATTAACAGCAATGCTCAACAGCATTCTAATTAAAAATAATCTTGTTTATTTCATAAAAAAATTTCATAAAGATATTAATGAAATAAATATTATATCTATAACGATATTAATAAAATAATATTTTATTAAAACAATATAGTGTATTTATTTCATTAAAACTGTTATTAAATTGATAAGGTTATTCAATTAGACTGCTGTTGGCTATAATATTGTTAATATGACATCAATTTTCTTCGTGAATCGTCCTTATTTATTATTGCCTCATATTTAAAGAATGTTAAAGAATTTTTTTACTTAATGGATTATTAATTCACAATAAAGAAAGAATAATTGGAACAACTTGTGTGTATACATTTTAATATAAAACGTAAAATTAAAACGTATTACACATGTGAACTGCAAAGAGAGATCTTTTTTATGCGCAAGCTTGCAATCTGCTTATGCCTACGTGCATGAAACAAAATTTAGATTTCAAATTTATTATATTTTTAAAAACAATTCCACTGTATCAACAATCAACACAAATAGTCATTTTTAGGTTTTAATTAAATGAAATATCGAAAAACTTACAACATCCAAATTTAATACGAAATGTTGCAGAAAATTTAGCTATTTTTTAAATATAAAAAATATCTTCGGATATTTGTTATTAAAAAGACGTAGGCAAAAATGATGAATAAAATTTGCTTGGAGAATATTTTCTCTCTTAATATGTAGGCGACTTTCTTCAATGTAAAACAGTTGTTTTTTAAAAATTAATTTAAAAATTAATTTTATTAATTTAAATTTAAATTTTTAATTTACATGTAAATTTAATTTTTAATTTAAATTTACAATTTTTTAATTGCGTAATCTACTATCTTTAATGTGTTAAGCATAAAGTTTTATTATAACATTATGATATTATAACATTTAAATATATAACTTTCTGCTATCTTTTCTCATTCCATTATGTTCTATCATTGACGAAGCTAAAGCTAGCAGTCAGACTTAGCAGCTAAAACGTAGCAGCCAGGGACGAATAGGGCGTTGGAGCCCTCGGGATTAAAAAGTAATAAAATGCATTGAGAGTAAGTTCTACACTCAAGATAATACAAAATAAGTTGAAATATAAAAAAATTATTATTATAATAATCATGAAATTAAATTAAATAAAAAATGTACTAAACCTTTATAAATCATTTAGCAGCCAGACCGTATGCATACTCGTACAGACTTGAAAAAAATCACAAAACTTCTCCAAATTGAGTATAAAACGATGATGAATCGAGATACCTGAGGACAAATGTTATTTAATTTTTATATTAACAATTTGTGCTATCCCCCCCGGGCAAATCGTCATCTCATCGTTTCGCACTCGTCTTGGAGAGTATGTGTGATTTTTTTCAAATCTAAATTGTTAATGCTGCTAAAGAGTTTATAAATGTTAATTAATTTTTTAAATAAACAATAACGCCGTCCCAGGGCAGATTGGTGTGCCATCTTTTCGTACTCATTTTGGAAAGTGTCTGTGATTTTTTTCATCTCTACGCGTACGATTTAGCTGCTAAATAATTTACAAATGTTATTTAATTTTTATATTAAGAATTAGTGCCATCCCAGGGCAAATCAATGTCTTATCGTTTCGTACTCGTCTTGGAGAATATGTATGATTTTTTTTCAAGTCTCTACGCGTACGGTCTGGCTGCTAAATAATTTATAAGTACGTTTTTTGTTTAATTTAATTTCATTATTATTTAATAAAAATGTCATTATTATAATAATAATTTTTATATTTTAACTTATTTTGTATCATCTTAAGTGTAGGACTTGCTTTCAATGCATTTTTAATTCATTTTATTATTTTTTAATCCAAAGGGCCTCGGCACCCTATTCGCCCCTGGCTGCTGCGTTCTAGTTGCTAAGTCTGGCTACTAACTTCAGCTTTGTCTATCATTGTATATATATATATATATATATATATATGATGGAGAATAAATACGTTTCTCTTGTTTCCTTCAATAGGATATTATGCAGATCAGTTGTCTGTGGCGCAAGAGATCAGAGGTAATATCACGGTAAAAGTGAAGAACGAATCGCGTGGGTTTCACCTGAATAATCTGAGCTACGCTGGTCCTGTAGTTATGGGTCTGGGAGGTAATAGTAACACACATTGCACAATTTACGAGCGCGATATACTTGTTTGACTGAGCGAGTTACACGACACTGATCTCCTTGAAACGGTAACTGCGCGATAATAGATAGGTGTACTGTCGCAAAATGCACATAAACTTCGAGATATATATATATACATATAATAGTATGTAATATTATAACGTTATATATTGATGCAATCATTACATAACATGATATAATAAGATGCAAAAATTGAACTTTCCTCGATTTTTTGTGTAAATTGATTTTTTTAAATAGAATTAATATTTTCTCTAAATCAAGATGTATAATTCTTCTATATTATAATTCTTTGTATATGTATAATACATACACACTAAAAAATAATCAAATATTGAAAAAAATATTTTGTTATTTTGTGTAAACAAAATGTCATAAAGAGAAAATTCAAATGCCAATTTAAAGTTCTATTTTTCTTTTTTAGAATACATTTTTAATTAAAAACGTTTTTACGATTTTTTTTTCACCGAGGTTAACTTAAGATTTTGTAATATATATTAACATAAGGTATTACTTCATTTTAATCTTTATAAGCAAATATTTTGAAAATATGCAATTTTATCAAAAAATCTAAGTTGTATTATAGTTAGAAAGGAACATACTAAGTGACGTTCCGCTCTAATCATATGCAACTTATATTTGGAATGTTTTTTTAAAATTGCATATTTTCGAAATATTTGCCTGTTGAAATGAATCATCCTATATATATGGATAGATCAATATATTGAATATCATGACAAAGATATTAATTTCATAAATGCATCTTTCGTGTTTTTAGTTATATTGATACATGAATAAATATTGATATGTATAATGCATAAACATAGGTAGAGCTATAAAAGAAAAAAATTATACAGCTATACAGTTTTATACAGGAAGATACGAGAGAACAAGAGAGAGAGAGAGAGAGAGAGAGAGAGAGAGAGAGAGAGAGAGAGAGAGAGAGAGAGAGAGATCGAAAATATCTACAAAATAAAAGCATTAAATAATATAACGGATGTAGGGCAGAAAATTGCAGGCGAAACGCGAAAAATGCGCAGTACTGAACAAGAGCACTCGATAAAAACTGTAAAAAAAAAATAACGATTGCCCCCAGAGAGATTTGAACTCTCGACCCCTGGTTTACAAGACCAGTGCTCTAACCCCTGAGCTATGGAGGCTCACGCTCGGTTATCGGCGAACAGTCTCAGATACAAGTACTACGTATATTTTATCTTTCCTACATACATTTAATTATGTTTATATTTTAAAAAAAAACGTATTTTATAAATATTCACATTTTTCCAATTTGCATTTTTCTCAATCCTAAACAATATCGAATTTTAACAATCTAAAAAAAAAGATAATTTCACAATAATTAAATTAAATAATTAAATTACACAAAATTACGCGTTGCAATTAAAAAATAATTGTCACCGCAAAGAAATTAAATCTCGTGTTACATTATACTGTCGTTCTACTTTGCATTATTAAATAATTTAATTATTTAATCATATACAATATTATTATGTATTTTGATTAAGAGCTTTCATTGACATTAACATACATTCAATTATTAACGATTGCGAAATCAATAATAATATGTAAATATACATCATAATGTAAAATTCAACGTTCTGTTATACAAGGTGTTCAATGTAACGATCAACATGATTTTTCAGACATTTCCGAAGTTAAAAAAAAGATTGAAAGGTGAGTATCATCTGTTTTATACAGGCAACATGCGACACAACAACAATCCTCCTCTTTTTTTTATAAGGAAATCAAAATCACCTTAAATTTTTTAAATAGCACCATACAATTTTTTTTTCATAATATTGTAAGAGTTTTTAAGATAAATTCAAATTACTATCGAAATGTTACTTTTATTGATTTTATTGTATATTTTAATACATGTATTAATAAGTATATATATATATATATATATACGTGTATAGAAATAAGTATGTATATATGTATGTATGTATGTTCTGTGTTCTAGTCAGATTAGATAAGTTCTGTTATTATTACAAATAATTAGACCGAAACTTTTACTGAAACTGAAATCAAAAATTAAAAAATAGGACTCCTATAAAGGTCATATGTATAAACATGCCCATATATTGTATACTTTTTCTTCATAAATATCATAATATCGAAACAATAATTAAATTTCAACCGAAATCGAAAACCGAAATTTCGGTTATATATCAATTTTGGCCAAAGAACATAAGTACTTCTTCTTTATAAACATCAATTCACTAATTTAATTATTGAAACAATTACACATATTAAAATTAATATTTATGAAGAAGAGCTATATAGTTTCAGTTGAAACTGACAGATAATGAGTGAGACAGAGAATTCGTTTTCAGTTTCGATAAAAGTTTCGGTCGAACTCTACAAATAATATTATAAATTAATATTAAATATGAATAAAATCAATAAAACATCGATAAAAGTGACATTTCGATAGTGATTTGTATTTGTCTTGAAGACCCCCTACAATATTATGGAAAAAATTGTATAGTTCTATTGAAAAAATTTAAGATGATTTTGATTTTTTTATGAAAAAAAATTTGTTTTAATTCTTTTATGTTATGGTCTGTATAAAACAGAATATTTACCTTTTAACTTAACTATTTACCTTTTAACTGTCGGAAGTGTCTGAGAAATCATGCGGACTGTTACGATGAATACCCTGTATGTCAGGTACACAAATAATGATTCAAACGATTCCAGGCTTCATTGTGGTAGCTGCCTGCGTGATGACTTTCGAAGCGCGCGATAGCGCGGCCAAGGTGGTTCCAGCTCGCTATCGCTACAGCCAAGCATCAACAATAAGGAGTTCGAAAAGCCAACGCAACAGAAGGTCGACATCGAGCCAGACAACAAAATGGGACCATCAGCTGGGCCTATTTAGGGTAAACCGCAGCCCGAGTCCCAGTACGCACGAAGTCTCCAGGAAACAGCTGACGGCGGAGTTCATGCAGTTCTCAAAGGATCTGCGCGAGAAAGGTATAACGCACTCCATAAAGAAGAGCCCGAGCGCACCAACATTAATTGACAAGAAGTCACCGCGTCGAAGATCGCCTAAATACGCGGGTTGTTCGCTACTTAATCCAGAGTTGCTGCAAAGACACGCTCTTTCGGTCGACAATCCAAGCTACAGTCCGCATCAGGTAATCAAGATAGAAAAATAAACGCCTTACGAAAGAAAAATATTTATAGATCTTTAGCTATTTATAGGAAAAATGTATAGATTTACACAATTTTTCGCGACTAATTTAATTATAAGTAATTGATTATAAGTGAGACTGATAAAAATAAATCAGTTAAATAAAAGGAATCCTATTTTCGGTCGAAACGGATCTTGATAATATTCATATAAAATTTGCAAATGCATTTTAAAATTTGCAAATTTTTTAATTTTATAAACTGCGATTCGATTTGTCGAATTAGAAATGCAATCATAAACTGGAGCTAGAAATAATATCATCCAAGAAAATCAAAATAATATCAATTTGACATCATATTGACCAAATTTACGTATTATTTTTCGGTCATGATAAAAATCTCAGATGATCTAAGAGAATAACTTTATATATAAAATCATTCTTAGATCATCTGAGATCGAGATCTTTATCATGATCAAAAAATGATATATTCAGTCAATATAAATATTGACGTCAAATTGATATTATTTTGATTTTATTATTCTTTTTTGGACACAAATTATATTAATCGTCAATTTAATAGTAATGCTAATAAGCATATTAAAACATTCCAAAAAATTTATTATGAAAATTAATGAATCAACTTTTCAATAAGTACTAACAGTTACATTTATGTTACAATTTTACACTCAACAATGTAATATTGTGTGACTCAACAATGTTATATTATATTTATATTGTTGAATGTGAAATTATAATATTGATGTTATGTTACTGTTAGTTGGCATTTATTAATATTTATTAATATTGATATGATTTATATGATTTATATGATTTTTTAATTATGAAAGGAGATAAATACTTAAATATTTTGTAGGATGCTTTCCAATTGTAAAACCACTAGACACCTTTCGTGCACGTTACGAATAAGTGTTCCACTTACCACAATCGTCAACACAATACTACACATTCGTACTCAATTTAAAGGCTACTATTATAGTCGATTGCGTAAGCTTAAGCCTATTCTTTTTCCGTACTCTAGAACTAAACTTCTAGCAGAATTCATCTTTGTTCTTTTTCTTTTCACATTGGAGAGAAAAACACAAAAGATGAACAATGCAAGAAGTTTAGTCTTGAGGTATAGAAAAAGAACAGCCTCTTGTGCGTTTTTTAGTAACAATTACATGTTACATGTTACTGATCGCAACAATTATAAATGAGATTGGAGGATATTAGGTAACTGGCATTTTTGCTTTTTTCATTCAATACAAGCGAAAAAACTATACATTGACGCTTGAACCGTAGAAAGTGCTATATCGGAAAAAACATAAAGAAAGATCTATGTCAAGAAATTAATGAAAAGCGATCTATTTCGCGTGAGGTATAAAGACGAGTCTATGTCGGAACGCATACGAAGTAAGATTTATATTGAGAAAACGAGAAGAACGGTCGCATGATGAGATTATATAGTGCTACATTTTCTTCTCATAAATTTTCTTCTCATAAATTTTATAGTAATATGACTGAAAACAAAAATCGTCTTGATTTTCAATCCTGTTTCTCGCACTTTAGTCATCTGTTATTTAATTTTTCTTAACTAAATTTGTGTATTTTATGAGTAGTAAATATTGCACCATATAGACTCTTCTTTAATTTCATGCGACTTGAACTATTCTTCTCGTTTTCTCGATATAAACCATATGCGTCAACATAGATCAATCTTCACGCCTCATGCGAAATAAACCACTTTTCATTAATTTCTTGTCATAGATCTTTCTATTCTTTAATCTAAAAGCTTTTATCCGAAAGCAAAGTATTCACATATTCTATTCCAATTGAGTCGTGCACTATGCTATACTTCATACATTCCTCTACGTTTGTGTTAAGATGTGTTAAGCAATCAGAAGACATCTATAAATTCTAATAATTTCCTTTACCTCAATAATTGTAATTGGAAATGATCTTTTTTTTATAACCAATAGGTCAGCAGAGAAAGTCTGGAGCATCAAAAGATGAGTGGTAGTCAAGCCTCAATGGCGATGGATCTGCATATTCCGAACAAAGGTCCTGTTACGCTTAAAGTGAAGGACCGATCCGACACAGCGAGACGACATCAGCTGCTTCGTCAAACAAAGGTGGAAGACGTCGAGGAAGTTGATGAAGCTGTGCGACCACCGCCGACTCTCGTGCACTCGCCTAAATTGCCAGGTGGCTATTAAATAAATGATTTAAAACATATGATCACTCAGATATGTAAGATCATCACTGTGATCATCACTAACAGATATTATAAGACATTTTAAAAAGTAGCTATCATTTAGTTAAAAAACTATGAAACTACGAAAATCAAATTCATGCACGAAATGCATTATAATGCATACTAAACTTTATTCGAGCAACCGGATCTTATCACTTTTGTGGACCAAGAAGATTGCCTTCCGTTTATACCAGACAAGGAGGTTGCCCGGATAAGCGTTAAACAATGCCTACATGTTTAAATATCAATAATCATGAACATCTCGATCAGGTGCCTATTGCAGATATCCAGACGACTTTGTGCCAAGAAAAAGAAATTCGATAGACCTGAGATTATTGGAAGAATTGACGGTGGTAACGAAAGAATTTAGTAAGGCCTCGCCACGAGACTTCCGCAAAATCTCCTCACCAAACTTCCGTAAAATGTCCTTCGACAGAATCGGGGGTGATCGTCGCTTCGACAGAACAATGGGACATCGAAAAGCTAGCTTCGAGTTTCGAAGAAGCCCAGATTTTCGAAGAGGAGACTATAGGTATAAGCAAAAATTTTGTAACATTTTTTATTTTCATATTTTGCTTTATTTATTAATATTTATTTACTAATTATTCTTTTCATGTACATATTATTTGCCGGTGGCTACGTTCTACAATCACGGATTTAAACTTATTAAACTTTTATAAATTAATGATATTTAATAATAAAATTAAAACTTATTTTAGAAAAAAGTTATTTATGAATAACTTATTTTAAATTTAAAAAATTATCTATAAATATTTTTTGAAATTTTTTTTTAAATGCAATTAAAAAATGTTGGCAATATAAAATTTAACTTGTTTGTACACGGAGAAAATTTTTTCTTAGAATTTTTTTCCCTGAAATGAATATGATAGTCATGAGACAACATTGTATTTCGAAGAATTTTAATGTAAATCTCTCTCATTTATTAATAAAACTACAATAAAGTATAAAATAAGTTTGATCAATTTTACTAAAGTGCAAAAATCTTTAAAATATCGTATTGTATCCCACAACTATCTATTTTCAAGATAAATTTTAAAAGAAAATTCTCTCCGTGTAAGATTATATATTATAAGACGTCTATATATTACAATGCCTAATCACACAAACGCCTTTTTTATTTATCAAAAGATAAGCGACGAAATGTTTCTTCTCACCGGATTTACAGGAAACTCTCGGTAGATAGATTCAGCGTCGATTGTACCCGATACATGTTTGACGAGACAGAAATGAAGTCACGAGCAAGCAGCGGGGAGAATTTGCGAAGGCAATCACGTCATCCTAAACTACATCATTCCAGATCGGACGACAACAGACGGCGATCCTTTGACAGGCATTCGAAGGATCCACAGTCGAGTCGACATTCCCTGAACACTCAAGCCATTATGAGTTCCGGATCCGATTGCGAGCCAAAATACTTTACGACAGTGTCCCTTGACACCGAGGAAAGCCGTGGCGATAATTCTGATGAGAGTCACGTTGTAGATATTGAGGAAGCGAATGCTAGCGCTTTGTCATCTGAGGGACCTACGGAGAATGACATGCTGCTTGAAGAACCAGAATTGGAGAACGTCACGGAGATCGACGTGGAAAGCTCGGGGGACGATCTCGACAATGGGAAAATCGAATTGCGCAGATCGACAAGCGAGAGGATCGATACGACGTTACAAGGACAAACTCCCATAATTATCGCTGATGACATGGATTCGCAGACGATAGTTAAGGAAGCGTCGCACAATTCAAGACAAATCGAGCGTAATGAGAAATATGAAACAACCTTATACATAGAAGATGACGAAGTGTGAAGAACCGAAGAGGTTTTTGAGAATTATAACAATGTACTCAGGTTATCCTGAGAAAATAACGATGGCGTTTGCGAAGTAAGGGAATCAATGATGTTCAACATTGCTAGCAACGTTTCTTCGCAAATGTGAGAAGCAAGAATTTGGTGATGACTGTCAATCGATCATCTTCGAATACGATGTCATGTCATAAAACATGCTCAACGACTTAAAACTTAACACACGGCATAAATAAAAAATAAATACACAAGATCACGTACGAATTGCGTTTTGTAACGAGACAATCATTTTTTATCGGCATCTCACTTTGCCTTTCGCGCAAAGGTAACGAGGATGTAACATTTGCCATTGATGACAAATAATTGTTATCCAACAAATTTTGACGTAGCGCATAGGCGGTAATAAACCGGACATATAAGGTATAAGATTCGTTGAAATGCAAACGTGATTAATCATACCAAAGAGATTTTTGTACGGGAAATATACAACGTTCGCCTGTAAATACGTTTCAGACTAATTCGTTCGGACGTTTGTTGATGTGTCAAATCTCTGACCATAAAATCAGAGGAATATACGTAGCGCGATTCAAAATGAATCTTGTATGGTAGAAAACAGTGTTATTATAGAATACAAAGTGTTTCAGACGGCGCACTTGTTCTCAGCTCTTAATATTGCGATAAAAGGAAAGAATAAGAAAAATTTATTAAAACAAAAATTATTTGTCAATTTGTGCTAATTCAATTTTGTCGGATTATTGTGAAATGCACAGGCAAATAAGAAAATGTTATCTCTTACAAAATTTCAAGTGCACTTCATTTTAACACATATATGTATTATATATACATATATATGAAATTTTATTTATTTTTAATTTACTAAAGCTTTCACGCAGCTAGTCTAAAATACGCGGTATCCATACATACAATAAATCCTATACACATATATA